CTTAGATAAAAAGTTATAGCTATTTGAAAAATTGAAACACTTTGTATAACTGTTGAGTATAGATGTCTTGCACCATACTAATAATCGATCACTAATACAGAATGTTATAATAATCAGAAAAGATTACGAAGAGAAGAATAAGGACAATAGAATTCTTATTACAACTGATATTCGTAAATTTTACTTTATAAAATTTTAATTTATATGATATACTAAAAAATTCATTTTAATTGATAGATAACTAATTCTGTATCTCTAGTAGATTGTATAGTGCAAGTGTTTCATACTATTTTTTTTATTTTATTCTGAAGCATTTGATTTTTTTCAATTTATTATTTTATCTTATGAACTTAAAGAACTAGAAATTCAAGAAATTGAAGAATTTGAAGTCACTTCTAAAATTTAATCTCAATTTTTTTGTATATAAACACTGCAGAATTACGCCCTTTTCGATTACTTTCTATTTTTTTTAATTTACTTTATAAGTTTAAGAATTAAAAGCCAATTCGAGGCCAATTTAAAGCCAATTCGAAGCCAATTTGAAGCTAATTCGAATATTTAGAATCTATTATTCATTTTTACATATGATTTAGCCTATTTTAAAATATACTTTTTTGGTTTTATTTATTATCTAAATCATATTTAATTTGTCTCTTTTTTTTCTATTTTTCTTTCATCTACAATTGATTCTTAATTGCTTTTATTGTAATGAATTTCTAATTTTGTAATTTTCACACTTGATACAACAGTTATCATTATTTTGAAATGGCTTTTATACATATCGGTATCTATGATCTTTTTTTAAATTACTTTTCTTAAATAGATTAGTGATTTCGAATCAGGTTGGTGATTATCACTTTACTTACCTGAACCTAAATTAAATATTCCTCATCAAGAGTGCCCAATGAAAGGTGTATGATCATTTATATAATCTAATCTTTAGATAATATATTATATTTATATTAGTATTTTTTAAATTATTTTAATATTGTATATTATTATAATTACTAATATTCACTATTGTAATCAGAGAAATTAAGTTGAAACTATGCCTTATTTTGGCATAATTAAAATTGACAATTTTGGCTGCAATTGCATATATTCTGGTTATCTATACATAGCATTAGAGTAAAAATTATATAGCGATAGTACAATTAAATATCAGAATATCTGATTACGTAATACACATGAGATGCTTATAGATACAGTACCTCAGAATTTTTTTAAACTCTAACAATATATAATTTTGATTTTTGGTATATATTGCGTGTTATTGTTAATTTATACTATATAGTACGATTAAACTCAGGCTAAATTCATATGTATATATTAATAAAACTATTTAGCAATACAATTAAAATTTGTTTTATTTTAATATATAATACACATTTTATAATAATGATTTTTATTTAAAAAACAACATATGGTTTAGCATTTTTGACTACTATAGATTAGCCTATATCAAATATCATTCTTTTAAAAAAATCGACTATATACAAGTTTTATCAAATAGCATGTTGTTGAAAGGTTCAAATTTCCAAAGTTTAAGATATTTTTTAAGCTTTGCTAATTAGAATTTTTAAATTTTTTTGATTTTTTGTATAGATATATAAAAATCATCTTTCAAGTTTTTTTTGAAAACTGTAAAAATAACATGTAGCAGTTAGTGATATTTTTGAAATAAAGAACAGCATGCATCAATAACTAACAGAATTCGAAAATATATATGGTAAATCCTCTATAAGTACACACTCTACTCAAAAAGTATATGTATTAAAGTTAAAAGTTTTTTTGTATAGTTTTAAATTACTTATTGTAGCTGAGATTAGGGTTCATAATAGGCGGGTCGGGTCAGGTATCTTTAAGCCCAACCCAAATCCAAAAATATTTTACAAGACTAAAGTTCAAGCTCGGTCTGATAAAAAGTTACGGGTTCAGGTCCGGCCGGGTTTATATCAAACTATAGCCAGTCCTGCCAGGCCGATCTGGCCTAATAATTTATATAAATAAATTTCAAATCTAATTTAACTCAAAATACTAATTACTGAATTATATCCTCGGTGCTATTTCAATTATATATTGAAATTCAAACATATATATGAAGATCTTGAACATAACAAAATAGCAAAAACATTATTTTTTTATTTATTTAATAAACAGATTATATAACATATCAATGAATTATAATATAGTTTCGAATTAACGAACTAAAAATTGATCTATTTTTTAACCCTAAGTTTTAAATCAAATAAACTAAGATCCTTCAGAAATCTTGTATAATTAAAGAGTATCTTAGAAAATTTATTATATATTCTGTATTCTTTAAAATTAATTTTTCATTTTCATCAAGAGATGAAAAATATTTAAACGAACCTTGTCAAAGAATAGGAATTGACATTTCGCACCAATGTCAGCTCACAAGTACACACAAGTATAAGAAATAAATTTCATTATTTAAATTTTTGAGAAACTGGTAAAAAAAAAATTAGTAAAAAAAAAAGACAAAAAAGAAACTATCAAAAAAAAATTACAGATTTAATTTCTGCCCATTCATCTACATCATTTGACCAATATTGACCACATAATAATATCTTAGCTGATTTTAAAATAAGATTTGACTGATAATTGTTAATAATTCTTCTAGCTGTACTAAATACCTGAATACAAAATTTAGGTTAGTTTATCATTAAAAATATAGACAGCAAATTGAACTTTAAAGTCTACTTACAGCTTCAGATGCCACGAATGTCAACAGAATCGCAAAGATATCTTGTGCCATTAAAGACACAGTGGGATATTTTGGTGCATTTGTTTTTCATCAAGCTAAAATATCAAATATCCCTAAACGAAGATGAAAAAAAAGTGAATCACCAAGATATTGCTCAAGCTCATTTAGATCATTTTTAGCATTAGCTTTATTATCCAAAAAGGCATAAAAGTCTTTCATTTCTTCATTCTGAACAATATTTGAAGAATTATCTAACGCTACAATATCATCAGCTGTATACTGCCTATAAGTTAAATCATAGATAGTTATAGCTCTATAATAGTAAATAATCATTAAGCGACATATATTTAAATTGTCATGTGATTTCGCAAACATGTCATATTCGCAAAATCATATGATATTATCGAAAGCAATTAGTATCAAATTTTTTTAATAAGATTAGACTTAAAAACAATAATACTAACCTTGATTTAATTAAAACTAACTCTTCTTTAGCTTCAATATATGACAGGTTCATCTTATACTTATACATATGGGTTAAAAATGATATCTTGTAATGGGAATCTAGTATTGAGACAATACAGTGTATTTCTACTATATTCGCTCAGTACTTATTAAATTTGGTTTGCATCAGATTTACTATTTGAAAAAAAAAGTTATCAGTATTGGTAGCATTTCATTCAAGATGCATTCTAATTCTCAACAATTCAGAAAAAAAATATTTGCTGTGGAGTAGGTGCTTCCTGATATAGTATTGGTGACTGATTAAAATATAGTATCATTTAATTTGTACTTATAATAAAGTACTTGAGCTAACTTAATTAGCATCACTTACTTTTATAAAAAGGTTTTAGAAAATTGCAGAGATACTGCCTTTTTTTAATCATCATCCCGAAATGCAATTAGTTCAAAACTAGCATCTCTAAATATGAAGATTGTGGATAACAATATTATAAACGTCAAATTCCAGCAAGTGACTACGTCAAGAGTTGGTCACTAGCTTGAAACAAGCTCATTGCAAAATCTAACAACAATATCTTCAAAGTTTTGCAGTCGATATTCTAAACTATAAATCCACTTCACACAATCTCTAATCTATAACACCAACTACAAGTAAGTAAGTCAGCTCTCCTAAAACCAAGCTCATATTATATACCCTGGTTATAATAAATTAAAAAAGTTAATTTTATTAAAATAACTATATTGGTAATACTAAAATTTAATTTACTTACATTTAGTAGAATAGAAGGTCTCTATTCAACAGATTTTAACTATTAATTAAAATTTTTTTTTTTTTTTTATTCTGAGCAGGCCAATAATTTAATATTGTTTAATGCAATAAAATTGCTACTTCAGCAAAGTTTAAATATCATTCAAATGCTTTGTTTTCATCTATAGCAGTATTATGCTGCATTCATAGCAAATTCAGAACAATAATTTTCATCAAAATTACCATTTTAAATTACTATTATTTGTTTTAATATAATAACTATTGTACTCTAGAATTGCCTTCTAGCTAATTTTAAATGCTGTCTATGTTCTTATGCTTTTTTAGCCAATTTGAGTTCTTTTGAATATTATCTAATCTATTAAAATGAGTTCACTCAGTTACATTTTCATAGTTTGTAGCTTTAAGTTAAAAATCCTTAATACAATCATCTAATCTGTTAAAATAAGTCTACTCAGTTACATCTTCATAGTTTGTAGCTTTAAGTAGATATTATCTTCTTGATAGAAGCATTATCTGAATTGACATTATTACTATTTAACTCTAATGAAACTAAGTTCTTAAGATGCGTAAAGATAACAGAAGAAAGAACTTTTACACTCTTACAATCGATCTCATTATATTGAAGGTTAAGAGTTGTTAAAAATTCTTAATACAATTATCAATATTCTTATTTCTTTTTGTCTATTCTTACATATCTGACTCTAAACTGGCATGTGTTATATTAGTTATAATATGCATATTTTTCTCTTAAATTAATATTAATCAAATCTGTGATTATAGTAAAAGTAGATTGCATATAGTACTGTACATACTATTAGTTAATTTAATATGACAAGAACTAGGCCGGTTTAGAGAGAGCTGACCATGTTATATTAGAATTAACTAAAATCTTAGGCTATTTTACTTACCTTATCTACAATACCTTTAACCATTTTAAGTCTACTAGTAACTATAAGGTTCAGAACATAGATACAACAATGTTGATGCAACAGGATTCTATTTGCGACGAGCATGTTTTGTTCACTTAACTTGCACTTTATATAGGTCATAGCAGCATCGTTACTGGTTGCATTGTTTAAAGTAACTGTTAATATCTGTAAAAGTATCAATACATATATACCTATAAAGAAATTGGCAAAATTACTAAATACTTGCTTTAGATATGATATCCCAATCTTCAAGACACTTAAAAAACATATCACTAATAACAGCTCCTGTGTGTAGCAAAGGAATTAATTTAAACACTAGAAGTAGTTTTCGAAGATTTCAATCTTTATCAATGAAATAGCCTAAAAAAAGCATAACAATTAAACAACTATATAAAAAAAAAAATTAAATATAAATATTTATATATGTTGTGCCTCAGATTAATTCTTGCCTCAGATGTCGATCGGCCTAAATTAGGGTTAGAGTTGGGGTAAGGATTAGGTTGTAGTTTAGGCCAATTAATATCGATCAGTTAATGCCGGCCAAATGATCAACACCTGAGGTGCCTCAGTTATCATCTGAGGCAAAAATCGATCTGAGGCACAACATATATATACTTGTAATAGCTATATAACTAAGATTTTGGTTTGAAGTTCATAAATCAGTGATAAAATTCAAATGTCCGGGTGTATTCTGTATTATCATATAATCTTGTGCTTTAAGATTTGCAATATGATTCTTACAATCTTTATGTATCGTCTTTTCACCCATTACTTTAAACTGAGGTTGCAGGTTTTTGACAAATTTTAAAAAAACCCTTATATTCAACTATACGAAAAGAATATCTGTGTATCAGAATCATATTTGCTAAGTCTTCCTGACTTTTCTCTTGAAAGAATTTGTAAATAGTAATACTTGAAAAAGAAAGCTGCAGTTCTTGTTGAGATATATCTTTAATATGCTTATTACATTTGATATGCTTTAGATGCTAGATCAAGGAACTTGTTCCTGATTTACTATCATGTTTAAAATTAGCATGGTCCACTAGTAATTATAAATATTTTAATAAACAATTGTAAATAAAATATCTAACATTAATTTACTTATACTCTTACATGGCAAATTATTCTTGGTGAAATGTCCTTTCTGAAAAACCTATGACAGTTCTCTGCAAAGCTTACGTTTCTTAGTAGCAAAAACTACTTCAGAGACTACTTTAGTATTTTCATCTGAAACTACTTCACCTGAAACTACTTCACCTGAGGTTACTTCACCTAAGACCACTTCACCTTCACTAACAGAATCTATAATCATTGCTATATAAGCAATCTCGTAGACTACAATATATAGTTACTTTAACATAATTTTTTTTTTTTTTTTT